AATTAATAAGTTGTGAGCCAATTGAAAATAATGAGACCAGGGTGTGAATGAATGCTATAATATACTCGGTGAATATAAAATGATCAAAATTACCCAGGCACAAATGATAGGAATCTGATTTACGATAATTATTTACATAGTTATACAAAACAATTGAATTCTTACAGATCACATAAATATATACAATTAATTGAATTAATGGGTAATAAAATACATGTCTCTTAAAATGATATTGAGGTCTAAATAGGGATAACCCTATTCTGTAGAGATGACTGTCCACACCATTCACTCGCAGTACATGAGGTATGGGTTGATATAAATCAAAATCACGTCTCATTTTAATTTTAAAATATTTTAGAGAAATTTTGTAAATCATAAGACAGTATTACAACAAACATATCAAAGTATGTTATTATTGAAAATGTTTGTAATATTCAAAATATTTTCAAGTATATATGAAATATTTGATGTGAAAAGCATATTTATTTGTCATATATAATTTATATAATTTATGGTAATGTTTATGCAAAATTAAGCATTAATTTAAAGTTTAATGATCATTTACATTCATTTATAATTATATTTCATTACGAATATGACCACAATATATACTAGAAATTGTATAATTAGTAAAATGAATGCAAATATTGCAATAAAAATAAAATAATTATAATTCATTTGATTCTTATGCATTAATACTAAATATTTACATAACAATATGACAATTAATTATAAGAAATATTTAATATTTCGCAATAAAAATGTTGAAATCTAACTTTAGATTTATGTCTATAATAAATTATTAAAACTATTAATTTTGAGAAAATGTTATTTATTTCACAATATTGTACAGTATATGAAGTAACATTATGCTCACCAAATGTTTGTTTCAAGGCATATCTGCACCATTTAATTAAACTTTATAAACAAATTTTATTATTATGAATAATAATGTCGTAATTTTAATAAAATCGTTTGTTTATACTTATCTAAAATGTCAAAGTATTCTTAAAAAGTCAATAAAAGTTATGATAAGGATTATTTGAATAAATAAATATTTACCTTATAAATTAACATAGTAAACATTAAATACTTTTGTATATACAAAATAATTGTTGTAATATTATTATATTAATTAATATTTGCAAAAATCTTTGGCAACAAACTTCTCGTATAAACCAATTGTGGCTCTATTTCTGAGATATTTTTCCATTGATTTTGTGCTAAGATTTCCAACTCTTTTAATGTTAGCATAAGTTTGTTGTATTTTATTTGCAATTTATATTCCGTGCGATATCTCAACAGTAAATAGCGTTGAAGTAAATATACGTATAGTTTTTGTTGATACCTACAAAAAATATTTGATTAATTTTATTTATTATTTACATTAACCACTCACTTCACTGTATCCCTGTGTTTAAGGTCCGGTCGATTAGGATCAAAAAGTGTAATTGCTGTCAACTAAAACAAACATCATCATTATTAATATAAAAATTAATTATTGATTTAATTATTATGTTTTAGTACCAGGTCGAGAATCACTGGATCGCAATCCCATTCCCAATATATGAGTTGAAAATATTTTATTAATAAATTATACACATTTCGTGGTAAATTCATAATAGGATTAAAATTAATATCCAACGAGTTGTTATTTCCCTGAAATAAAATTAATTATAAATATTACAAATAAAGTCAGAGAGAGAGAGAGAGAGAGAGAGAGAGAGAGAGAGAGAGAGCAAAAGTATTATTTCTGCCTTTTCCAAATTAATATACAGACAAAACATATTTATACTTGATAAAATATCCATCAATTATTAATTTACTGTTTGTATATCATTAGGGCGAGAGAAAAGTTTAAATATTAAAGAATAAAATGTTCTTGATAAAAAGATTAAATTTAAATACATACCATATTAAATATCAAGTTATTATTGTTGAAGTCATAGTTAGGTACACATCGTATGATAAATAGTGGCAAAAATGCATATTTCCTAAATGCTTGTCTATCCGTATCACAAATGCATTCAAATTGAGTTAAATTATGATATATTTGACCCAAAACTGTGATCTGTTGTCCCAAAAAGGAACTCCTATTTCCTAATATCTGGCTAACATCGAGGGCATAGTCTATAGAGTCGGGTCGTATTGAATCGTATGATACGTTTGTCGCCCGCAATAATTGCTGCAAACGTTTGCCCTCTAATTCAGTCAATTGGTTCCTGTAGTCGGTTAGGGGTCGGTCCACAGTGACCGGTACTGGTACTAACTCTCGGTCCCTTTCCATATCAAACAAGTCAGACACCGGTATGTCGTGAATGAATTCATTGATGTCTTTATGACTATCATTGATGTCTAACTGAATGTCACTAAAAGTCTCATAAGTTTCTAAAATATTGTTTGAAATAATGTTGTCATCAGCACTGTAACTATCGGTGCCGTCACTCCAGTCCACAGTATTATACGAGTAGTTTGAATGTGTTTTTGGGTTTATATTTCTATCAATGAATGTAATATTCACGATGTCCTGGAATAAATTTATAAAATAGTATAACTCATTAATTATATTAAATTAATTAGTATAAAATGTATACAGGTAATTTTTACAAACCTTATTCATTCCCATAGCGAAACACTTGTTTAACCGACACTTTCGACACCTTTTCCTTGTGTTCACATTTATTACACACTTCCCGTCGGAACGGCATATGAAAGGCTAAGTGAAAAATAAAGTATTAATAAAACTACAGTTCCTTTCATTCAAACACCTGGCTAATATTAAGTATTTACATCTATTTTGGAGGCATTCCTTCTAAAAAACTCCTTACATGAGGGACAGGTTATAGCCTCGAAATTGTAGCCTAAATATTGATAATTAAACAAGTTCAATATTTAACTATTAATAAACATTTCTATTACCTCTTGATTTGTCCCCACAAACCACACAACACTCGACGCTCATTGCAAGTGAAATACAATTGTTTTTAAGAAATTTCAATACTATTTATAAATAATTTTTATGAAAATTATATCAATTAATGATGTCATATATCAAGCATTTATTATCATTATTATCTCATTACTAATGGATAACAAAATGTAATCAAATCTTAATATATTGAGTGAAAATACAAGTTTTAAAATGTTTCAGAAAATAGCTATAAAATGTATAATTTTGTTTCAAAAACTATTACACAGTTAAACTGTTAAACACATTAACTTATATAAGTTATAATGTTATATTTATACAGATATCATAATAATCTTTAATCTGATATTTATTTTAAAAAATATTGTCATTTCACATGTGCAATTATAAAATGTGTTTTGAATGTTGTTTTGTAACAATTACTGTTCATATCGATAATCAATTTTTAAATAATAATTCATTTTAAAAGTATGTTATAAAATAAATGCTTGAATTTTATGCTTGTATAAATATTTGTGTGATTTTACAGGTAGTTTTTTGTTAAACTTCAAACAAAAAAATTCTAATACAAAGTATTATATAAATATTATATTATACTCTGTACACATGTAAAATCTACAAACAAATAAAATTTTCTTCACTCTCACTATAATAAGTAATTATTAGTTATAAATTATAACTTATAATGAAAACAATACTGTATAAGTTGAATAATGTTATTACTATAATTACATTAATTGTAATACATAGTATTTATAAATAGGAATAATAGCAACTAATTTATAGTAACAAGCAAGTTATAATGCTATATCATGTGATTACTTATAGTTGCCTAAGAAACAGGTGATTATCACAAAAAAATACATTTACACAAACAGTATTTTTATCATTACAAATATATTTGGCAATTAGATTACAATAATATTATACAAAACATATAATAAAAGTGTTATGTTTTCTTAATATTTTTATAATTATTAATAACATATTTTTCAATATAATTTCTGATACTTAAAATTTAGTTATTTATTATGAATAAAAATATTAAGAAATATACAAATTCACTAACCTGTGTTGTATGTGGTGATATAGCGTACGGTAATTCAAATTTATAAAAGTTTATACAATATTTTGTAAATTATAAATAGTTTTATAATTATTTAATATGTGAAAATTGTAGGCAATAATTTTGATGCCATAACGTGCCCCTCATGTAAAGTATTTTTCCGAAGGAATGCCATCAAAAATAAGGTAAAGTAATGTAATATACTATTGCCACTACTAATACTAATATGTATATTTTAATAATTATGAATTTGTAAAACTAATTGAATTTTTATATGACTTAATGCATAGGAATTTGAATGTGTTTTTGGAAACAAATGTAATATTGATGTGAATACCAGAAAGTTTTGCGTCAAGTGTCGACTCGACAAATGCTATGCAATGGGAATGAGAAAAGTTTGTCATTATTTGCAACATATTTAACAATTAATTTAATGTTAATTAATTTAATGTCTATTTTATACCAGGATTATATCTTAATTTTGGACCAATTAAACCGAGAAAGCAAAACTCACTCAAAACACAAACAAAAGTCAAGTTTTATGACAAATAAGATCTCGTATAACGCCATAGACTCGACCACAACATCACCTAATGATAGAAGTTTGGATCAGTCTATTGATACTTATGACACAAATACTACTCTTGATATTCCGGACACTTTCCCAGACACACCGGTGGACATGGATTTCAATAATCAGATTAATTCACTCCTAAACGATTCAATAGTGAATATCTACGAGGACTATGAATTAAGGCAAAGAGTGGAACAGGAGTTTCCAGTCATACCGTTTGTGGACAGACCTATCGCTGACCACAGGAATCAATTGAATGAATTAGAGGGCTATCGACTGCAAGAACTGGTGTCTGTTTTTGGTGACCTTTCACACCCATTAGAGTCGGTGTCGGTATCCGTTATATACCGTGAAGTCTATGAGACAATTGGCACCAAATTAGAGCAATTGATGCTAAATGTGATTAAAATATGTCAGAAATTAAGCACATTTACCAGTATTTGCGAGGAGGACAGGATGTCCCTGATTAAGTATGGCTGCATAGATCTGTCTTATATGTGGCTGATACCCAAACTCGACTATTATCAAGATCATTGGAAGTTCACTATTGTATGTATTGTTCATTTATATTATTAATCAAAATTATTTTGTAATTTTTATTGTATTTAATAACAAATAGCATAAACAAAAACCGTATGTATTTAACGATAATCTGCATTTAGAAGAACCTAGTTATTATTTGTTTGAGGATATATTTTATGTCTTACACGATGAATGCCTGGCTGATCCCGTGGCTTATGAATTGGTAAGCATTTGAATTTCACACTAATCCCACATAATAATTGCATTGATTAAAAAAATTATTAATTAACTTATTTTATATATGGTTACAGTTAACGGCAATAATTTTGTTTAGCGCCGATAGGCCTAACCTTAAGCACCGGCATATTGTTCAGTAAGTGATTGGATAACTGGATTTAAATAATTATACAACTATTTATGATTTGTTACAATATTTATTTAGACTCCAACAGCATATTTATATGTATTTATTGCGACGATATTTGCAATTAAGATATCATACCGATTATGAGATGCAAAACCGATTCACGAAATTAATCAAAACGTTAATTAATTTGAAATATTTTGCGCAAAAACATAGGGAACGCATTGAGGAGAATACCGACTCCTCTATTGTCAGTAAAGGGCTATTGACTGAGATTTTTGAATTAAAGTCAATTTGTAATACACTTTAAGAAATTTTAATTTAATAATTAAAATTATTAATATTACATTAAATAAATCATGTGCTTTCCACTTTGACGGGTAAATATTATCTAGTTTAAATAAATTATTTTGTTAACAAAATATATTTACAAATAAAAACTACTAATACTGTATTATATAAAAAAGGGTACACAAAACATATCTGGGTTAAATCTTGTCCAAAATTGTAATTTGTATGACTTATTAAAATTATAACATTTAAAAAATACTTTATCAGTTTATAAAAATCTTACATTATTCAGAATATAATAAAAACAGTATTAAATTATCATATTACTGTACTTTAAAATAAAATATTTATACTTAATAAACTTTTATTTATTTTTTGTATACACAATAACCAACAAATTATTTAGAAATAATACTAGCATTAAATGTGTTTATTTATACATTTATATGCAGTACAAAACAATACATGTATATCTGAATTAAAATATAAATTTTAAATGAATTGTTTTTTAATTGTACATAATATTTTCAAAAAAGATATTTCATCAGTTGTAAAATAATTATCAGTTAACATTAAATTAAAATTACAATAGTAAAAATAGTTCAAATACACTTTAAACATTAATATAACATTGCATATTACATGTATAACAGACTGATATAATATAACATACTGATTACTAATTGCAAATGTACAATTGTTTCTAAATTACTAGTGCAATTGTTATTTTAAGTATCAATACAATTGTTATTATCATTGCAATTATTATTATATTTCAGAAATACTTTGCACAATACTCTATATATCAATTAAACTAAATTAACAAACGTAGTCTGATTTTGTTTGTTTTTATTAGTTTCAAAATGGTAATCTATAACTTATAAAACTTAACATTTATATATAATTAAACAGAATATAAGTTTAATGATTAATATTGATTATTTAATATTAAAAGTAATTATGATGCTTATTGTTAATAAGTTATTAATATGTCATAAGTTATGAATACATAAAAGTGGAAATCAAATGGGTACAGATTTACCGTTAATGTCTGACCCCTCAATTATTTTAAATTTGTAAAGTTATTTAAACAGTTGGTTATTTTATTTTTTTCCAACATTTCAATTATACCGTAAAAATATAATTAAAATAAATTTAATGAAAAAAATAATCTGTACTATATTTAAACAATTTAAAAGTTATTTAATTAATGTATTAAATTCATATACTGTAATAGAAAGTTTGCAAATTTTTAAAATAAAATATATTTTAATTAATAATACAATAAGGGACAATTCACAAATATTTATTTAATTTGATCTATTTAGTTTGTTTATTAAAATATACGGTTATAATTAATATTAGACACTGGTGCAATTAATCGGATTACCATCCATTATGGAAAAAAATCCGGACATAATGTCAGCATTAGTAACAATCCATTGATTGCGAGTATCTCTACAATTGAAATATTCTCCAATAATACTCATTGTATTGTTCGCATGGGATGTGAACAACGGTTTGTATGTGTTTTCATCGAAATAACTCCAAAACTCTTTGTAATTGCCTTTAATAGCTAAATCATACGTTACAACAATAGTGACAGGTCGTCCCAAATGACTGAGCGATTGGACACTAAATGACGTACTCTTCAGATATGGGTTGTCTATAAAACCCAGAATTAATGTATGAGTTGTGGGACTGAATGTCAGTACGTTTGGTGGTATACGTGAGATAGACGTCTCAGATATGGTTAGAAATTGCAATAATTTTAGGCTATAAAACGCTTTTTCGGGTATTTGTGTCAAGTATTGCTCCGAAATAATTAATTCTTTTAATTCATTCAATCCATTGAACGCATTGTCGGGAATTGTCGTCAATTTCTTATTATTAGTACTCAGAGTAAGTTTTTTGAGTGTAGGTATGTTTTGGATTAATGCGAAAAGTGAATTAGTATCAAGGTTAGGTGTGTCTGTAATCTCAAAGTCGTCTAATTGTAGGCCATGATAAGCATTCACTTCAATTGATTTCAATGACTGACCGGAGTACATTATAAACTCCTTAAACGTTATGTCGGCGAAAGTGTTGGCATTTATTTGTGTAATACTTGTATTCAAAACAACTAAATAATTGAATGATTTTTGATTTGTCGCCAAATTTTTGCTTATTTTAGCAAAGATTGGCTTCAAATCAGTGATTGACTTGTCGTCGCATACGAGCGCCGATACCTTTTCTGACATGAAATCTTCATCGCAATAACACGGCTCCAGAAGCGTATCATTTGGACATTTCAATGGCTTTTCACATACGACTAATGCAACAATACATACAATCAGATATACAAACTGTACAAACATTTAAAATCTTGTTTGTGAATAACTTGCGATAACTTTTCAATATAATGAGTTTACTTTTAAAAATTACACTGAATTTTATACAGTATTTGAAGCAATTTACATCTGTTTATACATTATAGTAATTGATTTCTACCAATCATATAGCAATAATTGTACATGTACTTTGTAATTTCAACATTTTACACGACATAACATTTAAACATTTTCTTTTATTTCAACAACCTCATTTTATTTGATTTGATAATAAACCTTGAAAGTTACCAATAGGCCCAAACGTAAGCACCGGCATATTGTTCAGTAAGTGATTGGATAACTGGATTTAAATAAGTATACAATTAATTATGATTATATATATTTTTAGATCTCAACAGCATATTTACATGTAATTTACGATATTTGCAATTAAGATATCGTACCGATTATGAGATGCAAAACCGATTCACGAAATTAATCAAAACGTTAATTTGAAATATTTTGCCCAAAAACATAGGGAACGCATTGAGGGGTATACCGACCCCTCTATTGTCAATAAAGGACTATTGACTGAGATTTTTGAATTAAAAACAATTTGTAATATAATTTAAGAGATTTAGAGTTATTCATATTAACATGAATAAATCATGTCCTTTTTAATTAGGAGATAAGAATTATCTAGTTTAAATAAATTATTTTTTTGACAATACCATTTGTTGAAGTAAAAATAGTCCAATCATTACAAATGTTGCCTGTTGTGTTTAAATAAATACAATATGTTAGTTTATTTAATTCATATTATTATAAATGAATGAATACAGTGTAAGTATTTTAAATAGATTTATATCCGGATTATGAAATATTTTGAGTGAAAATAATTTTATAAAAACATCATAACTTATGAATCATAAGTATCACATCTTAAACAATACCCCCGCAGACAAAATGACCACCTAGAGCACTATTTCTTTATTATCAGTACCATGTTTCTAATTAATGATTGATTTAGGCTGGTATTCATAAACAAATTGAACTTTAATCTGACTGGACTGACTGGACATCCTAGCCCACTTATCTGATCACATTTCATAAACCACCTTAACTTTTTATTTTAAAATTATCTTAAATTCAGTCCGATGTGAGCCCATACACTTTCATAAGGGAAGGGAAGCCTACTTACAGGGAGAAGTTTGATCGGTGTGGGACTTAAATTTGTGAGACGTTGTTTAAAGGTAGAGCTCAGATTAAAGTGTCTATAAAACCAACCAAAATGTTTACAAAAATTGAGTAAAATGTGTGACCCAACTAAGACTTAAGTCTTCTTTATAAATTGCACAGTTAATTTTAATTAAATTATTAATAAATTAAATTATATTAGATTTCTTAAGGGTGGTGGAGTGGTGGAGGAGGTTGTCTAGATTGCATAAAAAATGCGAACGTA